ATGGTGGGCACATTATTTTTATGGTCATGGTTTTGCACCTAATTTCTTATTTTTAATATGGGTTGGCACTAATTTTTTATTTATATCACTATTGTCATTTTTTTATTGAATTGTAGTTTTTTTATATTGAATTGTAGTTTTTTAGAGCGCTGCACTGTTCACTTATTATTCATTGACACTGTTATTTGGTATCAGTTTTTGAGTGCTGGCAGCTTAAAGAATAGGTTTAGGAGTTCCATTTTCAAAGCGCAGGAGGATTTTGATTATTTGATGAAACACATTCGTCCAGCCTTGGAAAAAAATCTAATATCATTTGTTTTTTGGGGGGATTTTTTGGACAGAACAAATTTACATGCTCTTTTACCAGGTGAATTTAATTTTTTTGACATTTTTTTTTTAAATAACTATACCCCCTAAGTCTTATTTTGATATAATTGAATTTAAATTGAATTTACATTTTTTTTTACATTTTTTTTAAATTACTATACCCCCTAAGTCTTATTTTGATATAATTGAATTTACATTTTTTTTGCCATTTTTTTTAAAAATAACTATGCCCCCTAAGTCTTATTTTGATATAATTGAATTTAAAATGAATTAAAATTTTTTTTGCCTTTTTTTTTTAAAATTACTATACCCCCTAAGTCTTATTTTGATATAATTGAATTTAAAATGAATTTAAATTTTTTTTGCCATTTTTTTTAAATAACTATACCCCCTTAAGTCTTATTTTGATATAATTGAATTTAAAATGAATTTAAATTTTTGTTGCCATTTTTTTTAAAATTACTATACCCCCTAAGTCTTATTTTGATATAATTTAACTTAAAATGAATTTAAATTTTTTTTGCCATTTTTTTTTTTAAATTACTATACCCCCTACGTCTTATTTTGATATAATTGAATTTACATTTTTTTTGCCATTTTTTTTTAAATTACTATACCCCCTAAGTCTTATTTTGATATAATTGAATTTAAAATGAATTTAAATTTTTTTTGCCATTTTTTTTTTTAAATTACTATACCCCCTAAGTCTTATTTTGATATAATTGAATTTACATTTTTTTTTTTGCCATTTTTTTTTTAAATAACTATACCCCCTAAGTCTTATTTTGATATAATTGAATTTAAAATGAATTTAAATTTTTTTTGCCTTTTTTTTTTTTAAATTACTATACCCCCTAAGTCTTATTTTGATATAATTTAATTTACATTTTTTTTGCTATTTTTTTTTTAAATAACTATACCCCCTAAGTCTTATTTTGATATAATTGAATTTACATTTTTTTTTTTGCCATTTTTTTTTTTAAATAACTATACCCCCTAAGTCTTATTTTGATATAATTGAATTTAAAATGAATTTAAATTTTTTTGCCATTTTTTTTTTAAATAACTATACCCCCTAAGTCTTATTTTGATATAATTAAATTTACATTTTTTTTTTTACTTTTTTTTTTAAATTACTATACCCCCTAAGTCTTATTTTGATATAATTGAATTTACATTTTTTTTGCCATTTTTTTTAAAATAACTATGCCCCCTAAGTCTTATTTTGATATAATTGAATTTAAAATGAATTAAAAAATTTTTTGCCATTTTTTTTTTTAAATTACTATACCCCCTAAGTCTTATTTTGATATAATTGAATTTAAAATGAATTTAAATTTTTTTTGCCATTTTTTTTTAAATAACTATACCCCCTTAAGTCTTATTTTGATATAATTGAATTTAAAATGAATTTAAATTTTTGTTGCCATTTTTTTTTAAATTACTATACCCCCTACGTCTTATTTTGATATAATTGAATTTACATTTTTTTTGCCATTTGTTTTTAAATTACTATACCCCCTAAGTCTTAATTTGATATAATTGAATTTAAAATGAATTTAAATTTTTTTTGCCATTTTTTTTTTAAAATTACTATACCCCCTAAGTCTTATTTTGATATAATTGAATTTACATTTTTTTTTTGCCATTTTTTTTTTAAATAACTATACCCCCTAAGTCTTATTTTGATATAATTGAATTTACATTTTTTTTTGCCATTTTTTTTTTTAAATAACTATACCCCCTAAGTCTTATTTTGATATAATTGAATTTAAAATGAATTTACATTTTTTTTTTTGCCATTTTTTTCTTTTAATAACTATACCCCCTAAGTCTTATTTTGATATAATTGAATTTAAATTAATTTAAATTTTTGTTGCCATTTTTTTTTTAATTACTATACCCCCTAAGTCTTATTTTGATATAATTGAATTTAAAATGAATTTAAATTTTTTTTGCCATTTTTTTTTTTTAAATTACTATACCCCCTACGTCTTATTTTGATATAATTGAATTTACATTTTTTTTGCCATTGTTTTTAAAATTACTATACCCCCTAAGTCTTATTTTGATATAATTGAATTTAAAATGAATTTAAATTTTTTTTGCCATTTTTTTTTTAAATTATTATACCCCCTAAGTCTTATTTTGATATAATTGAATTTACATTTTTTTTTGCCATTTTTTTTTTAAATAACTATACCCCCTGAGTCTTATTTTGATATAATTGAATTTAAAATGAATTTAATTTTTTTTTGCCATTTTTTTTTTTAATAACTATACCCCCTAAGTCTTATTTTGATATAATTGAATTTAAAATGAATTTAAATTTTTTTGCCATTTTTTTTTTAAATAACTATACCCCCTAAGTCTTATTTTGATATAATTGAATTTACATTTTTTTTTTGCCATTTTTTTTTAAATTACTATACCCCCTAAGTCTTATTTATTTTGATATAATTAAATTTAAAATGAATTTATATTTTTTTTGCCATTTTTTTTTAAATTACTATACCCCCTAAGTATTATTTTGATATCATTGAATTTAAAATTTTTTTTTTGCCAATTTTTTAAAAATTTTTTTAAGTGTTTGTGTACAGTAAATAAGAGCGAAGGGAACGAAGACGAAGGCAGTAAGCGCTCCTGTCTATTACTCATCGCGAAAGCGCCTGCAATGTATTCTCACGGGGGCTTAGCCGCAAATCCCCCTCTGCGTCGCCGTCCTCGCCAGGTTCGGATGTGAGCCTCGGAATGAAGATTTTCAGCATGTTTCCTGCTCTGGACTGGCAGGCTGAGGTCAGCCCTGTGGTCTCGGAGACATTCCTGAAGTGTGAACGCGCTGAGTCTGCACAATCGACGATTGTAATGGGATCGAGTCTGGGGGTTTAAGTCATACTTTTTTTTTTTTTTTCTGCGTAATTTTTTTTTTTCATGCCGATGTTTCACTATTGCACTTCGCTGCCGTAGAATTGAAATCGAGATTTAATTCTGAATACCGGAACAACCACGGGGAGGTCCTAAAATAAATTTGGGGGTCATTCCTACGCAAGACGTTAACTCGTGGTAATGCATCTGAACAGTGCAGTCAGGGGCGGACTGACAACTCATGGGGCCCCCGGGCAATAGGGGATCATGGGGCCCCTGTGTCCTTGCCCAAACTCAAAAAAAAGCCTACGAAAAAGGTACCAGGGGCATCTCATGGGGCCCCCTCCTGACCCCGGGCCCTCGGGCACTGCCCGAGTTTCCAAATGGTCAGTCTGCCCCTGCGTGCAGTGCATCCATGTATTGTGGATGGTACCCTAACATTTGTATGGGAAAACCCAATGCGCCGCAGCCCACCATGTTACGTATGTCGGGCATTGTGGTGCAATGCATTGTTAAAAAAAAAGGGGGCATGCATGTTTCTCCATTTAGTATGGTGTTGCCACGACTCATGGCCAACCAAAGACCCCAGTGCTGCAAGGCGTGAGCCAATGTACTGCCCAGGGGCGGACTGACCATTTGGAAACTCGGCACTGCCCGAGGGCCCAGGGTCAGTAGGGGGCCCCATGAGATGCCCCTGGTACCTTTTTCATAGGCTTTTTTGAGTTTGGGGCCCCATGATCCCCTATTGCCCGGGGGCCCCATGAGTTGTCAGTCCGCCCCTGGTACTGCCCAGTAATAAACGGAGAGGGTCCAATTGGGCTCTACAGCCAGTGTGAAGTTTCCTACCATAAGTCACGATGAAATTGAACCCCTTGCCTACCGGGGCGCTTTCACCCCCCTCCTGCCCAGGTCAATTTTCAGCTTTCACCATCGTCGCACTTTGAATGACAATTGCGCCGTCATGCAGCACTGCACCCAAATGCAATTTTGTATTATTTTTTTTGAAACAGAGCTTTCTTTAGGTAGCATTCAATCACCGCTGGGGGCTGGGGGTGTTTTATTCTAAATAATCCAAAAAAAGACCAAAAATTTTAATGTGCAAATAGGTAATTTTTCTTCTTCACTGATGTGCAATGATGAGGCTGCACTGATGGGCACTGAAAGGCTGCTTTCATGGACATTAATTGATAGGCAATGATAGGTGGCACTGATGGGCAGCACTGATGGGCGCTAATAGGCTGCGCTGATGGGCACTCATATTCTGCACTGATGGGCACTGATAGGTGGTACTTATGGGCAGTACTGATAGGCTGCGCTGATGGGTACTCATATTCTGCACTGATGGGCACTGATAGGTGGTACTTATGGGCAGTACTGATAGGCTGTGCTGATGGGTACTCATAGGCTGCACTAATAGACACTTATAGGTGGTACTGATGGGCACTGATAGGTAGTACTGATAGGCAGTACTGATAGGCAGCACTGATGGGTACTGATAGGCTGCACTGATAGGCTGCACTGAAACTGATGGGGCTGCACTGATGGATAACTGATGATGGGGCTGCACTGATAGTCAGGGCACTGATGGGCACTGATGCATTGATGGGCACTGATAGGGCTGCACTGATAGTCAGGGCAGGATAGGCTGCACTGATGGTCACTGATGGTGGGCACTGAGTAGGCTGGTAGGCTTGATGGGCACTGATGGTGCTGCACTGATAGTCAGGGCACTGATAGGGGCACTGATAGGCTGCACTGATGGGATGATAGGGCTGCACTGATAGTCAGGGCACTGATAGGCTGCACTGATGGGCACTGATGGGGCTGCACTGATAGTCAGGTCAGGCTGCTGATAGTCAGGGCACTGGGCACTGATAGGCTGCACTGATGGGCACTGATAGGGCTGCACTGATAGTCAGGGCACTGGTAGGCTGCACTGATGGGCACTGATGGTGCTGCACTGATAGTCAGGGCACTGATAGGCTGCATTGATGGGCACTGATATGGGGCTGCACTGATGAGTCAGGGCACTGGTAGGCTGCACTGATGGGCACTGATGGGGCTGCACTGATCAGGGCACTGGTAGGCTGCACTGATGAGCACTGATGCGCTGCACTGATGGGCACTGATAGGCTGCACTGATAGTCAGGGCACTGATAGGCTGCACATAATGGGCATACCAAGCCCTTCAGGTCTGGTATGGATTTAAAAATAAAATGGCGTGGGGGTCCCCCCCAAAAAAATCCGTACCAGACCTTTATCCGAACATGCAGCTTGGCAGGTCAGGAAAAGGGGGGGACAAGCGAGTGCCCCCCGCCTGAACCATACCAGGCTACATGCCCTCAACACGGGGGGGGGGGTTTGGGCAAGGGGGCTTCCCCCCGAGCACCTTGTCCCCATGGTTGATGGGGACAAGGGCCTCTCTTCCCCAAAGAAAAATCTGATCCACTCTCAATGCGGGCTCCCGCTGTCTGACAGCTGCACCGGCCTGACAGTTCTTAAATATCTAAGGGCAGGGCCACATGTGACATCATCTGTGTGGCCTCACCCCCGTTTGACGTCATGCGCGCGCTGTGATTGGCCAAAGCATTGCACTTGACCTGTGGCCCCCCCGACTTACACTTCCACACAGTCCCATGACCATTTGGACCCTTCTGATTCTTTGAGTGGCAGGGGGTCCTCACTTCTGGAGAGAACATTGTGACCTGTATACATCAATTCTGCCAACACACTCCGGGGGGCGTGTCCATGACAGCCTGGGCTCACAGACAATGGTTGAATGATGATGGGTGTCATGTGACCCAGAAGAGGAGAGGCAACCAGCAGGATGGAGTGTGGGAGGGTAAGTAGTGCATTCAAAACTTAACCTCACATCAGGGTCCCCATCAGAATCTCCCTTAAATCAGTGTCCCCATCAGAGTGTCCCCTTACATCAGTGATCCCATCAGAGTCCCCCTTTACATCAGTGATCCCATCAGAGTCCGCCCTTACATCAGTGTTCCCATCAGAGTCCCCCTTACATCAGTGTTCCCATCAGTGTCGCCCTTTACAGCAGGTCCCCAACATGGTCTCCCTTAAATCAGTGTCCCATCAAAGTTTCCCTTACATCAGTGTTCCGGGACAATAATGCAAAGGGAATAATGATGGGGACTCTGATGTAAGAGGGGATTCTGATAGGGACACTGATATAAGGGGAGACTGATGCAAGGGGGATGATGATGGGGACTCTGATGCAAGGGGGGCTTTATGAGGACATTGATGTAAGGGGGGGGCACTGTTCTAAGGGGAGACTCTGATGAAAGGGGGGTGCTGATGGAAAGTGGGGACTTTGCTGAGGACTCTGATGTAAGGGGGGACTCTGATGGGGATGCTGATGTAAGGGGGGAGGGGGCACCAATGTAAGGGGAGACTCTGATGCATGGGGGTGCTGATGAGGACTCTGATGTGAAAGGGGACTTTGATGAGGACTCTGATGTAAGGAGGGGCAACAATGTAAGGGGAAAATCTGATGCAGGGGAGGTGCTGATGGGTACTCTGATATAAGCGGGATTTTGATAGGACCCTGATGTAAGGGGGGGGGGGGGGGGAACTTGATGAAAGGGGACTCTGATGGAAAGTGGGGACTTTGATAAGGACTCTGACGTAAGGGGGGGACTCTGATGGGATGCTGATGGGGGGGGGAGGGGGGCAACAATGTAAGGGGAGACTCTGATGCAAGGGGATGCTGATGGGGACTCTGATGTAAGCGGGGATTTTGATGAGGACACTGATGTAAGGGGGGACTCTGATGGGGATGCTGATGGGGATGCTGTAAGGGAAGAGACTCCTGATGCAAGGGGGATGCTGATGGAAACCCTAATGTAAGAAGGGACTCTAATAGGGAAATTGACTCTGATGTAAGGGAGGATGCATAGGGGTGCTGATGGGGACTCTGACGTTAGGTGGGTTTTGATGAGGACACTGATGTAAGGGGGGACTCTGATGGGACATTGCTGATGTAAAGGGGGGCACCAATGTAAGGGGAGACTCTGATGATGCAAGGGGGTGCTGATAGGGACTTTGATGTAAGGTGGGTTTTGATGAGGACACTGATGTAAGGGGGGACTCTGATGGGGATGCTGATGTAAGGGGGAGGAGGGGCACCAATGTAAGGGGAGACTGATGCATGGGGGGTGCTGATGAGGACTCTGATGTGAAAGGGGACTTTGATGAGGACTCTGATGTAAGGAGGGGCACCAATTTAAGGGGAGAGACTGTGATGTAAGGGGGATGCTGATAAGGGACTTTGATGTAAGGATGGGTTTTGATGAGGACACGTTGATGTAAGGGGGGACTCTGATGGGGATTTTGATGTAAGGGGGGGGGGGCACCAATGTAATGGGAGACTCTGATGCGCGTGGGGTGCTGATGGAAACCCTGATGTAAGAAGGGACTCCAAAAGGGCACAATGATACAAGGGCAGACTCTGAAGCAAGGGGGATTTTGATGGAGACTCACTGCTGTGTTCATATCACGCCGCCAACAAAGGAGATCCAAGTAAAATATTCATTCCTTTGTTTTTTGGCCCTCAAGTATTTGTAAAACCTTTGATGTGGCCCTCCAATGGAAACGTTCAGAGCCCCCCCATCCCCTCCCCCTGCTCTAAGTGAAGTGCAAGTTCCCTCAGCTGGGTGAGGACTTCAATCATCCAATCACGTGCAAGCGCTATTTTTTTTTTTATTAAATGTCCTGCGCAGGTGATTGGATAATTCTTTACAAAGCAAATTTTTCCTTCGTTTCGCCTCATTCACTCAGATGGGGGAATAAACGGGTCCTGCTGATCCGTCACCCGCCTCCAATCTGATGTAAATGTCCATTTATCGTAGGTAGAGCGCACGCGGCGGCGGCGGTGGTGGCGTGGTGGTGGCGGTGGTGGCGGCGGGCGGGGTAATTAAGTGTTTTGTCTTCACTTTTCTCATTCCTGTAATTAGTTTCTTTTTTTTTTTTTTTTTTATGAGATCTGGAAGAAAAAAAAAAATCTTTTTAAAATGAAAGCGATAAATCATGTCCTGGTTAGACATACATTGAACTGTCACTTTGTTCCCATGTGGCCTCTGTTCCTGACATTGATCAACTGTCACTGCTGCAGAGGAAAGGTAATACAACCAACAAACATCCAAGGGGGGGGGGGGGGGGAGGGGTTGGAGCATATCCCAGCATTCCCACACCAGCTTTATGTTAAATAGTGACACCCCCCCCCCTTCATCGAATTTTCAAACCTAACAAAAGTTCGACTGCGAACTTCAAACTTAAACCCCTCCCCTCCTCGGGGTAAAATACATCTTAAAGCCCAAGAAAAATGTGACAACTTCTACCCCCTTCCTAAACCTACAGGGCACTTCTACCCCCTTCCTACCTACAGGGCACTTCTACCCTCTTCCTAGCCTACAGGGCACTTCTACCCCCTTCCTGCCCGCAGGGCACTTCTACCCCCCTTCCTGCCTACAGGACACTTCTACCCCCTTCCTGCCCGCAGGCACTTCTACCCCCTTCCTGCCTACAGGGCACTTCTACCCCCTTCCTGCCTACCGGCACTTCTACCCCCTTCCTGACTACAGGACACTTCTACCCCCTTCCTGCCATACTGGGCACTTCTACCCCCTTCCTGGCCACATCGGGCACTTCTACCCCCTTCCTGCCTACGGGCACACTTCTACCCCCTTCCTGCCTACAGGGCACTTTCTACCCCCTTCCTGCCTACAGGGCACTTCTAACCCCCTTCCTGCCTACAGGACACTTCTACCCCCTTCCTGCCTACAGGACACTTCTACCCCCTTCCTGCCTACTGGGCACTTCTACCCCCTTCCTGCCTACAGGACACTTCTACCCCCTTCCTGCCTACAGGGCACTTCTACCCCCTTCCTGCCTACAGGGCACTTCTACCCCCTTCCTGCCTACAGGACACTTCTACCCCCTTCCTGCCTACAGGGACACTTCTACCCCCTTCCTGCCTACAGGACACTTCTACCCCCTTCCTGCCTACCGGCACTTCTACCCCCTTCCTGCCTACAGGCACTTCTACCCCCTTCCTGCCTACCGGGCACTTCTACCCCCTTCCTGCCTACTGGCCTTACACTTCTACCCCCTTCCTGCCTACTGCACGGGACACTTCTACCCCCTTCCTGCCTACAGGACACTTCTACCCCTTCCTGCCTACAGGGCACTTCTACCCCCTTCCTGCCCAGGTCAATTTTCAGCTTTCAGCGCTGTCACACTTTGAATGACAATTGCGCGGTCATGCAACACTGTACCCATATGACATTTTTATCATTTTTTGAGACACTTAGAGCTTTCTTTTGGTACCGGGTATTTAATCCCCCTTTGGGGATTTTTATTTTTTCTTAAACAACTTCAAAAACCACTTAAAATTTTGAAAAAAAAAAAACGTTTTTTTTTTTTTTTTTTTTTTTTAGTTTTTGTTATAAAATTTTGTAAATAAGGGATTTTTCTACTGATGGGCACTGATATAGGCCACTGTATTTGCCTACATGACAGGCTTCTACCCCCTCCTGCCCACCGGGCACTTACCCCCTGGACCTGATAGGTGGCAACTGATGAGGAGGCACTTTTCAGTGCTGCACTGATGGGCTTTGACAGGCATCACTGCGGCACATGAAACTGCAGCACTGATACATGGCACTGATATATGGCACTGAGAGGCAGTACTGATATTTTGGTGGCACTGACTGGCACTGATAGGCGGCACTGACTGGTTTGTTAGGCGGCACTGACTTAACTGTTTTGACACTGACTGGCACTGATAGGCTGCACTGACTGGCACTGTTATCACTGACTGCACTGAAAGATGGCACTGACTGATGTGCACTGTTAGGCAGCACTGACTGGCACTGATAGGCGGTTCTGACTGGCACTGTTAGGTGGCACTGACTGGCACTGATAGGCAGCACTGACTGGCACTGTTAGGTTGCACTGACTGGCACTGATAGGTGGCACTGACTGGCACTGATAGGCAGCACTGATGCGCACTGATAGGCTACACTGACTGGCACTGATAGGTGGCACTGATTGACATAGACAGGTGG